TCTAAGGCATTATTTTAATATCTCCTCAATATTTTTTTTTGACTCATGTCAACACATGCCTTGGTTAGTTTTTAAGAGCAAAATGAACTAGCCACAAATATTTTGCAACTTTTTCAATTACCCTTACTTTTTGATGTTATTTTTCATAATGATGAGGGCTTTGGTGATTATTGTTGTGTACGATTGAATATGGTTCTTAGTGTCGAAAATTGTGCAAAAGTCAATGATCTTGTTGAAGATGGCCGAAATTATGAATATTTGCTTGGTCCTTGGAGAAGAATGGGAAAACATAATACAATAGATATTTGCAGCCTCATTAACAGTATGAAACGACGTTTACAGAGAGTTATAGTAGCCGGGGAGGCAATACAAAGTATTAAGGCAGGCGGCCACTGCGAGCGAAACTAAGCTAAGAATATAGAAAGAAGCGGTAATTAAACGAAAATAAGTTTCATCGGCCACTGTGAACGATTTTCGCTTAGTAGTCGCTAAGTTAGCTGCGTTTTCGTATTGTGTCTCTACTATCATAGAATTAATCGCTGCGAAAAATTCGCTGGAACCTGTCACGGACTAAAACGAGCGAAACAAGGCTACGATTTGAATCTTCGTTCACATATTTTCATTTAGTTTGGCTCAAGTGGCCGCTGATGTATTTAAAAGTATGGTAGCTAATCTTATCTTCGTTTGGCTTAGTTTAGTTTGGTTTGTTTGGTTTGCTTGCAGTGGCCGCCCGCCTTTAGAATATTTTTTACACAAGCTTTTTGTTCGCTTGTACACTTAGTTATTACAGTTTTTTAATTATGTAGTTCTGTTAGTCTTACTAATATTTCTTATTAAAACCAAGCCTATATCTTTACTTTTTAACGTTTTTTAAATTTCATTTAGAGTTCTAATTAATGTTGATATGACAATACGACAATAGTCACCAAAGCCACCTCGTGATATTAAAAAATAACATCATAAAATAATGATGCACGTCATGAAAAAAATGCAATTTATTAGTGGCAAGTTCATAACGTTCTTAAAAACTAAACAAGGCATGTTTTGACATGAGTCAAAAAATAAAATGCTCAGGAGACATAGTTGATTGATCGAAAAATAATGTTTTAGGAAAAGTTACTCGCAAAATTATTGCAAAAGGCGTTTTAAAGTTAGGGTAAAAAACAACCCTTCAATTAACCCTGTATAATAAGCCAAATACTAAGGTTTATAAAAAAACTGAGTTTATGAATTAAAATTGATAGATTTATATACAGTTTGCAAAAAAAATTATGAAAATTATGTTAAAAGTAAAACAAATACAACACTTTAAACATGACGACAAACATTTGAACATTGAAACTTGAAATTTGAAATTTTGAAAATTGAAATTTGAAAATTGAAAACAAAGAAAATTGAGTGTATATTACATTTTTAGTCTTGATGGTCATTTGAAGATGATTTCCAATTCAAGATATCGTCCTGTATTTCAACATTTTCCATCCAAATAATGATAGTAAATAATTTTTTTACGCATATAAGTCCAGAAATAAGGTACAAAAGAACCCTTACTTTGTACACGAAGGAGTTGTTTATAAAAAAAGATGTTTAAAAGACCGCACACCTGCATCTAATTAATACTGCCTTTAAATTATGTTGGCTCTTCGAGATTACCACTTTACGATGAGAGGAGAGAACTGGTACCGTACCTGCATATTCTGCAATTTATAGAACTATCGTAAAATGTGGAATTTTTAAATTGGCTAATAAATTCACGATCCTGTTCACTCCTTTATCTGGCGATTTTAAGAAAAATGCTGGCCATCGAAGACTCAATTTGGGCCAAGACGTATCGGAAATAAGAGATTCGCTATAAAAAATTTAATAAAGAGAACGAGGAGAAAATATTTTTAGTGCCCATTTTTATTTTCCTTTTAACATACCTTAACATTCATAAAGATACTTCAAGTTATGGTAACTGTCATTAAGAAGCGAGTGTTAATTGCGAATTTGATTTTTATCTAATGATAGTTTTTAGAATGTCAATTATTGTATTTTGGTATGCATGAAAAGCATTAATTTAAAATTATTTGAAGTCATTAAGATATTTTAAATGGTGGTGGAAAAAATCGCCAGAACTGAGGCAGGAAAAACAGTTCGTAGTAGATCACTTGCTAAAACTTGATAAGCACAGAAAGTAAAACTGTCGAAACTGTATTGGATCTACTAACATTGTAGTAGAAGCAATGTACAAAGATTCGGTCAATCTGTCGAAGACAATTTCTGTTATTATCTGTCGAAGACAATTACAATCTGTAGAACATACTTTTTGTTAGTGTCTTGATCTTCCTCTAGGAGATGCGAGACTTTGTCGTTGGTGGGAAAGCTCCTAGTCAGGTGCTAGGGGGAATCCCCTCTTTCACTTTAGCTGGATCTGAGAAATATCTCATTGTCTTGTCCCTGGCTGTCGTGTCGTGGCCAGGGAATTACACCAAGACGTATATAATGCTAGATGTGACTACCCTGTCTGTCATATCAGGCACCCTCTACTGTCTGTGGTCATGTATCACGTGTAGAGGGTGTGGCGAGTCTTAGCTTAACCGCCCGGACCAAGAGGAAACAATTTCACCAAAAACCTAATTGCTATGATAGCGGGACCAGGTCAAAGGGATGCGTGGCTAGATAGAAGACTAGCTTCTACTGATCTCAACCTCGGGGCACCAGGGGGCAACCTATTGTAATATCATTTCCCTTACTGCTACATGGGGGGGTCTGTAGAAGTATACCGAGTAACACTTGCGGTGTAATTGAGCTCAAATCTAAAGAGGAAATAGAGAAAGACGGATATATCCTCTATTGTAGATTCGGGAGAATAGCGGTATCAGGTCTAAGGAGAGACCAAGTTAAAGAGATGGAAAAAATGAAGACAGAATCCTTAAGCCTCCACCTCACGGGAACCTCAGCTCATCGACAGTGAAGGGCACGAAGGTCTAAACCTCAACCGTGGAAGTCTGTATCACCTCGTAAGAGGTAGATGCCCACTCTTCGGAGGATGAACATCTATTGTCAGTGGAGGATGGAAAATATCGTGCCCCCATACAACAGGAAGATCCCTATGTATGATGACCTATAGCTCAAGAAAGGGGGACACGATAGATCTTCAATGTCGCGGTGATTAACCCCCCTCTTACTCATTCTACATTCTACAATGTCTTGATAAATAATAAATAATGGTAAACGTGTCGTCATTTGGCGATGATAAGCTATTTACAAAGAGCTATATGGAAGATCCAGTCTCTAAGTTAATAGACTTCAAGAGTCATTATGATTAATTTCCAAATTTACAATCAAACATTTTAAGTCCATTTTTTTTCTTTGCTGAGATATAGGACATAACACTTTGAGATGAACCGCCTATTTAAAAATAGACATATTTATTTAAATTCAAAACATTGATTTTTAAGACACTCTGTATACATAAACAAAATTATTGATTTTTAAAATATTATTCACAAATTTTTAAAATATTATTTACAAACTATGAGGGAAATCAGGCGACGACCAGAGATGATAGCTGTTAGATAATAGCTTCTAGACTACCATTCGAGACGCATTGATATTATTTTGGTTCTTGAGTTCTGTGGCAAAGAATGTTATTAAAGGTAAACTAAATGTTTTCTCATTATTTAACTAATGTTAACTAAATCATACTTTGTTTTCTTGTTGTAATTCTGTTCTAAAGCTTTTCCTTATTCATTTGATCTGACACAGACAATATATAACATGTGTATGCATTTAATGGAATCTATTTATGCTGTAAATAATTTCAGTTTAAAAGTAATCTAAATAAAATCGTTTACTGTTCCTTCGTGCCGATGTTTGTGGTTTGTGAGAAGAAGAGCCTTGTTGAGTGTACTAACAATTTTCGACCTTGCATGGGCGAATATCTTAGCTCGCAAAAGGGCAAACAAAAGCAATAAATAAAATAATTCATAGAATAACTTACAATTTATTAAATTATAAGATATTGGCACCAAACCTTCAACTTTAGCGTCGATTCCGCAACAAGGGACTTCGTACCTACGGGTGGGGACCCGTTAAACTAAGAAATTTTTCCCGAGACACATTTTTAACGTGGAAAAAGGCACAAATGTATGTTTTTTCACTCAGTAGTGTAATATAGTGACCGACACAAAGTTATTACTCTTCAAAACAGTTGAAAAATATGTAGGTGGCGCCCCCTACAAGTAGGAGTCATATTGACATCGAAATCAAATTTCTCATGTTAAAAAAAACCCCAATATCAATTTTCATCCAAATATCGATATTAGTTCAGAAATTATTTGAAAAAAATCGAAATAAAAATGAAATTTCTATACCCTGTATCTCAGAAACGAAGCATTTTAGAACATACACTTATACGAACTTTTTTACTTATTTTTATCTGCAAAATATGCTGCCGAGGTTTCCCGAATACAACTCGGTCCACCTTGTATAGAATTATTCTCAGTAAATGATGATTAATTATAATTATTATTTAAATACCTATAATTTTAAAAATAAAGTCTTTATTCGTTAACTATTTTAATATATTTTTATCAGGAGTATTATATAATTTTACAAACGCATACTCATAACATTACGGTGCGTTAAATATGTTTTTTTCTATACTTAATAGTTATACATATTATTATCTAACTGTATGATAAAGAATTACAGAATTTTTTTCTGCGAGTGTATCTGAAATTTTTTGCACACTTGATCCCAGTAGCTAAATTTGTTTACAAAAACCGGTTCCCCACATAGGTTCCTCAAGTAAATTAATTCCAATATATTTCTTATGGGATCTGGCTCCAAATAGGTATTATCACAGTTTAAAGAATATAAAAAATTGTTAAGGCGGCCATGCTCAACAATTGGTATTGTTGTCATAGAAACAAAGCAACGACTTGTCAGAGTTTCGATACAAACAATTTTTTAAGTTTATTTTTTGTGTTTGGTTTTTACGATTATAGAAAAAATACAGTGTGCAACACGTGTTTAAATACTTTTTTTCGGTATTAGTGTACGCTTTTTGTGATTTACTCCCTTGATTTTGTTTCTGAAATACTTATTAACCGGTAAAGCTTTTCCTCTCCATGTGATTTCTCCAGTAGTATAAAATTTTGATGAAAAAATGGGATTATTTGAACTTATATTTATTAAAAGTCGGTAAGTTTTATTTAGTTAGTTATTGTACAAGGTGTGTTATTAAAATTTTGCCAAAAATATAGCTTTAAAATGTTTTCTTTAAATACAAAAGCTATAAAAAGGAGTGTAGTGATATATAATCACAATACACAGATGATGAAAACGTTATTCTTAATTCTAATGATAATAATATATGGGGTAGGTATTTTATTATTATACCGGGTGTCCCATTAGCTCCAAGAAGTCGAATATCATCATTGTTGACAAATTTGTTGATAAAGATATGAAAAAAAGTTTAATATAAATGTTGGGTGTTGTGGTTTAAATTTTTATAAATGTGGTTTAAAAATGTGCATATCCTAAATATATTTTGTTGCATACAGGATATCCCAAAAAAAGTCATGATGAAGTTGGAAGTTTGTTTTAAATTGCAACCCCCCTTGTTTTGTACGGAATTGGATTCATCATAAGATTGTGCTATAGTACACCATTATTATTTAAAGGGGTATACAGTGTTACAATATATATTATATATATATATATATATATATATATATATATATATATATATATATATATATATATATATATATATATATATATATATATATATATATATATATATATATATAGAATATATATTTTTATATGTAAAGTATTCCTATAGCTTTAACCGTTTCTCAGATAATTACAGTATTATACAGGGTCGCTGATATGGGATATGGGAACTATCGATTATATTTGGTAAAATATATGAGCTACCGCAAAAAGTTAAATATAAAAGTTATAGCGTTTTTAAATGTCTATTAGCGAATAATAAATTTAACTATACAGGGTCGGTCATAAAGTGCATTTAAAAGAAATACATTTTGATTACCACAACTTTATGACCGACCCTGTATACTTAAATTTCCTACTAGCTACTAGATATTTAAAAATCCTATAACTTTTGTATTTAACATTTTGCGGTACCTTGTATATTTTACCTAATAATTGACCGTTCCCACACATAAGTTCATAATATGACTCTTCTTTCTGTAATAAAATATAAGGCAGAAAATCACGAGGTGGCTTTGATAAAAATTAAAAATTTACAGTTGAAAGAGCCGTATGTAATACCGTATGATCGAAAAAAATCGCGTCAGCGATGGCTATGAAATGAAGATCGCTGTCATTTTATAGGTAAATTTATATGGGAAATGTCATAGCTCGTCACTTCCCAGCCATCTGGACGCCGTTTTTTTTCGATCGTACGGTATAATAACGCGACTAACTGCTAAACGGTTAAAATTTTAAGAACACTTTAAAAGAAAAATAATATTCAAGGTGTTGGTTGACGAATTTTACGGAGACTGAGAAAAAGACAGATTTGAATATATTTGTATTAGATGTCCCTGTCCTTATTTAAATAACAAAACATATTTTTTAAAAGATTTTTTCAAAGTGTTTTAGTAATAATATAGGGAATTGATATCACGTAATTTTTTTTCAGGGACTTAATAATAAAATGTAAATAATAATATATTAAACCAATTCCCTGATTTTAGGTGGTGGAACAAACTCAGGCCAGTTCGTCATAGAAGAAATAACTGGTGTAATTCGTCTACATTCCAAACCCATCTCGCTGGATCGTGATAAATATGAACTGAACGTCACTGCCATGGACGATGGAGCATGTTGCGTCAACGGAGACCTTACCATACATACCAGTACGGCTGTGGTGGTGGTTTTCATAACTGACGTCAATGACAATAAACCCATGTTCAAAGACTGCGGAACTTATTACCCCAAGGTCGAGGAAGGAGCACCCAACGGTTCTCCCGTTATTAAGGTACGTATGTTAGAAATTATACCGTATGATCGAAAAAAAAACGGCGTCAAGGACGGCTGAGAAATTATTCTTCTTCTTAAGGTGCCGTGCAGATTCCTGCGTAGGCGTTCATCTTTTTCTTCCTCATCAGATGGTTCTGTTAACTGCAGCGACTTGGAATGCTTGGAAGTCCTGTATGCCTGTACAATGACGAATGTTTCTCAGCTAGGATAGCTTCCTTCGACATATTCCCCTTTTGCCTTCCTCTATTTTACCCTGGAGAATCAGACGCTGAAAGTGATAGTGTTCTCCACGTAGTATGTGTCCCAAATAGGCTATTTTCCTCTTCTTGATGATTTCGAAGAGTTCACGTTGTTCCAGACCAGCTCTTCTGAGAATGTCTTCATTCCGTACACGGTCGACCCAGGGCACTCTTAGCATTCGTCGTAGGGTTCACATTTCAAAGGCTTCAATTCGGTTTATTGTTGCTACCTTCAGTGTCCATGCTTCCACACCATATAACAAAACGGACCAGACATAGCACTTCACCAGGAGAGGTTCACCACTTTAGAGGAATTATAATCGATAATAATTTTGGCGAGATCCCAGAGTTTCCAGACACACAAATCTATTTCCACAAAAATATTTTTTCTTGAATTTTTTAAGCTGCACCATTTAAAAATCATTTTACTCAATATAAAAATAAAATACATCCTTCTTAAGGCTAACTGCCAGTAAGCGCCATTAGAAAATAAAGAAGAGTACCCGCTAAAGAAATGACGTTTAGGGCTTGACCTCGTCAAAATGATGATCGATTGTCATTCTCCAGCCATCTTTGACCAATATCGCAATATTTAAAATGCTATGAGTCAATTTTTTTAAATGCAACGTTTTTTTAGATTTAAAATTATGTATTGTATTTACTATAAAAGTTGAACCTTTGGTGTTGCAAGAGCAAAATAATAGAATAGATCATCATGATTAAACTTTTAATCATCTGCTGATGATGCTAACATGAAGAAGAAGGATTTTATATAAGCCGCATCAGCTGCTGGGCTATTTAGTTGCGAGGCATTGATGCTAACATGGTTAGCGAAACGCGCGTCCAGTGCAAAATTAAAGTGTTTTGTTGTATTGCGGCGAATTAGTGTTTTATTTTGCTATTGTATCTATTTACCTAAAAGGTGTTCCTAAATTTTTAACTAGGAACATAATATTATTTGGCTTTTTAGACAAAAATAAAGTACACCTTATGTACATTTTGACAATTTTTTTAAATTTTAAGTCAGTTTATAGGATTATATATTGATAATCCTTATTCAGCTTCAGAAAACATCACTATAAATAATAAAATAGATTAATAAAATTCTCTAAAATTCTAGAAAATACATTAATTATTACTTTTTAATATTTTTTGCTTAATCTGGTCCAGTTAGTGTAGTGTTCGTTCCTTTTCTATCTAGATCGTACTTTATTTTCTTTGCCTAATTTGTTCAGCTTCTCTATGCATCCTCTAACCAACTTCGAACTGATGGTTACTGAGTTGATGGCTCTTAAGGCTGCTTGACTATTGGAGAAGATGATTATTTCTTGTTTCCGATAGTTCTTATCTAAGAAAAATTGTACACATCTTTCGATAGCGTAAATTACTGCCCGAAGGATGCTGAGGTAGGTGCGCCTGGTTTAGTTTTGGAAGCATCAATATAGAATGTTATAGTATGGTCTTTTAACTGTTGAGCAGACGTTTCTCTTTTCCAATTCTTTTGTTGTCCCCTTCTATATCTGCACCCATTCTCCTATCCCTGTGCCCTGCACTAGCTTATGCAGGTCCTTCATAGGATGGGAGCATAGTTCCTCCGGTTCTAGCTTAGCTTTCCCAAATCAATACTACATTGGGGTGTTTCTTAAAAGTTGTACATTCTTCGTATGTCATCGACATTTTTGATTGGTTAATCAAATGTTTGTTTGTTTATAAAATTTTGAATTTTTTTATGATTTTTTCATGTAATGCAATATATTTTAGGTTCATGCCACTGATGAAGACAAGGGCGTCAACGGCCAAGTCAAGTATTCTATTGTACAGCAGCCTAACCAGAAAGGCACTAAGTTCACCGTGGACGAAGAAACTGGCGAAGTGTCGACGAACAAAGTGTTTGACAGGGAAGGAGACGACGGCAAGTTTGTATCTGTCACTGTGAAGGCCACCGACCAAGGCGAACCAAGTCTAGAGGGCGTTTGTTCCTTTACAGTGGAGATAACGGATGTTAACGATAATCCACCATTGTTTGATCGACAGGTGAGAAAATTTATTTAAAAAAATAATTAGGTAATATATCAGGTATAATTATATTTTATTGCTTTTCTATGAGGTAATAGATGTTAGGGATAATATCTGAATATCTGTCTCAATGGTGGTTTGTCAACAACCAAACCACATTGCATAGTTTTTGAGAAAAACAATTGAGAATTCTCAAACCTACACAAAAACCTACGACGCCACAAAAAGAAAATTTTACTCCTAATAAAACAATATACTATTATTAAAAATTTGAGCCATAATGTTACTAACCACAATGTGAAATGTCGAAAGTAAGGATAGTTTTGTGAGAATTACGAGTAAATTCAATTTTTATTTATGTTTTTTTTATTATGTTTGGGTTTGATGATATTTACAATTTGTATACTAATTTTTGAAATATGAAATTTTTGTTTTAAACTTTTTATTCAATAAAAATTGAACCAATTGTGTTTTAATTAATTTAATGATAATTAATTATAATTTTATCCATTTATATATAATACGTATTATTAAATTTCGCGAATCTCTGTGTGTGTATCTTTGTAAAATTCGATGTAGGCGGCGAACTTAAACCGATTACTCAACGAAGCAAATCCAACAAAATAAGGGGAACAAGTCTCCGGATCTCATTTACACGAGGGGCTTACACGTTTTGCGCTAAACGCTCTCCGAAATTCACGTATTAGAGGTGCCGCTAATATTACTTTTGACTATATATTATTTTACCCAGCGAAACGAGGATAATATCCTACTAAAACAAAAACCGTGTTTAACTTAAGCCGTAATTTCGCAAAGATAACAGCTATAATATATTGTATATTTTCAGAACTTCGTTATTCTATAAAGAGATCAGAGATATTTTAAACAGTCGAGATTACACTTAATTTATGCTTTTAAATTAATACGAGTATGCTAATAGTTTCTAGCTTTTTAATTACAAATTTAAGAGCATATGAATTGTGAGTACGTATGTTTAATATACTATTCTATACATTTAATATACTATCACAGATTATAATCTTTGTTTTTTCTTTATTGTTCTTCGTCGTTCCAATTTTCGGAATCGGGTACTAGTTAGGTGACTAGTTTGCGCATATAGCACGCCCACTTATGGCCTCTAAAATTGTGCACAGCGCCTGACCGGCACAGTTACGCGTATCTTATCATGGTTACGATATACGCGAGTCAATATTTAACGCAAGACCCGCTAATAACGTTACCGCCTGACGTAATTTGCGGATCAATGACACCGAGCGCTCTTTCTAAATAACCTCTGATAACGTTTAAAAATTGCTTAAATGGGCATGTGCGGGTATTTGGCAACCGGAGCCGGCCGGCGAGATCTTTTATTTTAGGTTATGTTTGAATTGTTTTGAATTATTGCTTTAGTTTTATTAGGTAGGTAATTTGATATTTAAGTAGCTGGGATTAGTTTTAATTAAATAAATATGGCCCAAAATATGGATTCCACCTCTTTCAATACTAAAGAACCTATAAAGAGTCTTAGGTTTACAGCAGATGACGACTTAGCCCTTCTAAGAGAATTTGTTGCTTGTTGCCCTAAACCCACTGGCGGACGTTGAACAATAAAGCCCTGGAAATAAGCACTTTAGACCTTTAGTTTTAAAATACCTAGTAAACAAAACAATTTCAAAGTTTTAAATTCAAAGTTAGGTTAAGTTTAAATAGCGGACGCGACGCGATCAGAATTCTTTCCGATCCGATTACCATAAATGAACAGAGTTAATACCACCTCACGTAAAGGAAATAACACCTGGCCTTATTAACGTCCGTGCACGCTATTCGGTTTAGCGATATCTCTCTATTACGCTGTTTATTGTTATTTTACGCCAGTTTATTTTTGCGCACAGGAAATTTGACTCGTTTGCACATCGTCATAAAAAACAATTTTCGTACCACGAATTAGGGACAAGATTTTTATCTGTATACTTATAGGATACCTAATCTGTGGCTGTAGACTGATTTTACAGGACAGCACTGGAGGGCTGGTAGTTATCAGGACACTTGCCAAGTCGGTAGGTCATTGACCATGATATGGCCGAGGACCGTGGTTCGGATTCCGCGTAAACAAAGTAGGCCCCGTCCAGATTAGCCCTGGCAGCAAAAGGAGCCTGGAGACGTTAACTGAAATCTTTACTTTACTTTATTCTATATTTTACTAGGCATATATCATAGGATTTAACAACTTATTGCTCTGCAGAGTTACCTACATAAATAATATTGTAAAATCCTAAAATTAAGAAATATGCTCTTATGAAGTTTTTCCTCTGGACCCTTCCATTGGTATTGACTATACGTAGTCTTTTGTTTAAAAAAAAATAATGTTCTATTTTTGGTTATGAAAAAAATAGTGTTTTCATTTCACTATCAAATACTCTATGTTGTTTGTTTTGATCATTTAATACTCACATGATGGTGACACAAAGAGCTATAATAAAAATGAGCCTGAATTTGTTCTCATTTCACGTGTTCTGATTTATTATATCGTGATGAAACAAACACAACATTCAACAGATTTGTAGGATATTTCATGGTTTATATTATTTACTGTATTTCTATACCTACTCTCTGAAATAGCAAACATATTTTAAGCCAACCTGTGTTATACTTTAATATTTATCCAGCAAAATAATTTATCCATTGCTATTTTAATAAATGGGTAACAAAACAAAGTCAAATATTTATTTATTGAATATTCTAACGCTTGTGGGTGTAATAGTGATTTGCAAATATTTTGTATTTACGATTGGAAAGTATGTTGACAAATGAAATATATAAATTATAGTCTGACAATATATACCGATTGGTAAATTAAAATTTTTGAATTAAAATTTTTTACGTTAAAACTATTTAAAAATACCATTTTTGTAATAAATAATATGTATAGACAACGAGTAAATAAGTAAAATATTTTTATTATGCTTGGATATAAAGTGTATTTTATAAAATAACAATTTTAATCAACATATCCAAAAGACAAAAAGCGTAATCTTGAAAAAGTTGGCTGTGAAATTCCTAAGCCTCTCGCGCATGGAAAATCAATAAGTGTCATTCGATATTTTAAAATTGTTTTGACATGTTTTAGAGTTCTTTTATATATTTTGATACAGTTTTAAGACAAATAAAAAAAAAAATAGCGGAAAATATCAGTTAATAATTTGCCAAAGTATAATTTTTATTAAAATCAAGTAGTAGTTTATTAAAATCAAAGTATTTTTAAAATTTATATTATGTGTAATGCTTTAAATTCATGTTATTATCGTATCACTGTAATTAAATGGGTAAGTTCTTAATATTTTATTATTTACATATTTTGTTTAAAATACAGATGAAATAGTTTAATTTATTGAAGGTTTTTGCTATTTTCCTTTCCAACATAGCATTCAGTATTCGTCATTTTATAATTTTCGATAAAATATTTTATATCTATTGCTATTTCTATAAAATATTTTATAATTTTGATAAAATATATTTATATCTATAAATAATAATAATATTATGTAATATTGCTCATTAAGAATATAAATGGCTATTATAGAATAAAAAATAATGTCTCCATAATTGTTAGATATTATTGTGATATTTTTTACCTGAAATGGTGTTAATATATTTAATAGTTTGTATCTATGGGGATTAGTAAATAAAATTTATGTGTGTATATTATAACAAAGACTATAACAACCATTTTTTGCGTTAAAAACCATTTTTTTTAAATAGCAAATATTTAAGGGACAAAAATACAAGAAATATTATATCTTAAGCTTGATAAAAAGTGCCGTCTACGTATTATTTTTATAAATAGCTAATTTCTGCAATAAAGAATACGCTCAATCTCTAAAAAGTTGGCTGTGAAATAACTGAACGCTAACGCGCATGGAAACGTCAGTGTCAGTGTCAATAAATATTTTAAAGTTGTTCTGACATGTTTTAGAAGCATGTTATGTGTTTTAATTTAGTTTTAAGATAAATCTAAAAGAATTAGTAGGAAATTTTCGATAATAGTTTTCGAAAAAATGCAGTTTAGTCGAATTCAAAAGATTTTTTAAAATTTGTATTGCGTTTTGGTGTTTTAAACTCTATGTTGTATTAGTACAATTGACGGGGTAAGTTACGTTTTATTTTTTACACGTTTTTGTCAAAATATAGATGAAATAAATTAATTTATTGAAGGTTTTGGCTATTTTTGACAATTTTTAACGATATAGTCTTGTTTAGTGTTTTATATTTATTGCCCCTATGATACACTGAATAGATACTATTCAAAATTGATTTACAGACAGACAATAACAATATAAATGCTAGCTAGGAACATGAGAATGGCCAATAAATGGCCAAATAAGAGTTAGGGTGACCTTCGGGGTGTCTATATCTGAAAAAAATGGATGTTTTATATTTTTAATATAAATATCTATCATTTGAGATACAAGGTCAATAGTAAATGTGTGTTCAAAATACATGTATGTGTGTCTACTATAATAACCGTTTTTAATTCTAAAAACAGTTTAAAATTTGTATTTTTTTAATTATCAAAACCTTATAGACCAGAAACTACAAAGAAAATAAATAAAACTTTTAAATAAACTTAAAAGTTGAGAAAAAAGCAGCATTTAACAGCCGTACACCTGCTTTATTTGCGAATTTCCCGTTTAAAGCTTGCCAGGCCAAGGAGACCACCCATCATCAGGACGACTTTGGTAGTCTATCTCGACCTGGCAAGTTCAAAACAGAAAATGCACGTCAAGTACATTATAGCACTTGTCGATGGCGATTTGTTCTCAACAAAATAGAGGTACAACAAAATATCGTTTTGACTACACTAAAAAAATACAAACTTTATATCTAATAAGCAACTCATCATAAGCGATTTTTAGAAATATAATATTACTAATATTATTTTCACAATTAATTTGACTTGTTTACAAATTATATTTTAACCACAAATACAGTTTTAAACTACGTTTCTTTTGTCTATTTTTAGAAATACGTCGAAAATGTGAAACAAGACGCCAGCATTGGCACCAATATACTTCGAGTTTCCGCTTCCGACGAAGATGCCGACAACAACGGAGCCATTGTGTACACACTCAGCGCTGGATCCAACCCTGCCGATCTGGAATACTTCGAAATCCAGCCAGAAAGTGGCTGGATCATTTTGAAGAAACCCTTGGACGTAAGTATCTTAAAGTTATATATCCCAAGTAAGTTTTAGTAAAGTAAGCAAACCTAAAAGTGTGGTAGAAAGAAAATTAGATATTTTAAACTTAAACATAAAAAATTTGAAGTTATATTTTATAACAAGATTGAAATTTCTACCACATTTAAATAACTGCTTATTCACACTAAATAAATACCTATTATCTTTACAATTTAATGATGTAAGACAAACTAATGTTGTGAATAAGTAGGGTATATTCTATAATATAAAAACCTTGATGATCTCTAATGATTTACTAATAAAAAAGTGTGTTTGATGATGAGTGAGTGTGCTCGAAAGTTCCAGGAAAAAATCTGTAGGGGGCCTAAAAATGCAAAAAAATAATGTCCGGATCACTGATAGGTACGAGTGGACATATCTTCGTAAAGTATATTCCATTGGTTTGTTTGTACTCACCCAGATAGTTAAAAAAATGTAGAATTTATTAAAAAAATACAAGCAATCACCATAATTATAATTGAACTGGCTGATTTTTTACTTTAAATAATTTTATGTTAATTTAAGGCATTGTGAATAAACTATATTATATAGTTTTTTTAGTATATTTTAGATTTTTATATACTTTTCCTTCTTGGTTTTAGGCCAATAAATCATTTTCCTTTCAATTACCTTTTTAAGACTATTTTTTTGGCCTTCATCAGAGTCTAAAATTACATTATTTGTGGAGAATTGTTAATTTTGAAGTTTATAACTTGATATAATGTCATTTTAACAGAACGGTTTCTTGTAGACGTATCTGTTTTAAAAAAGTAAAGTGTTCTCGAATAGTTGAATTTAAACATTTTAAATGGGTTTTTTCTTTATTCTTTGTATTTTTTTTGCTTCCGACGACGGAAAGAGATAAACTTTCCGAATTGTTCTTTAATATTTAAGTCCAATTTTACAAATCAATCTGTCAGAGATTTACTCTGGATTATTTGTTAAACATAATACTAATATTCAGTTTAATGTGTTGCTTGTATTTTTTTATAAAGTATCAAAATACCTATCGTGATAAACCGAATGGTGGGAAACCGATAATGGAATGTTCTTTAGCAGCTTTTTTGTTAATGATTTACAGCGCACCTTATATTTGAGTTGCTCAAATTGGTTCGACGGGACCAGTTGCACCAGTTCTATTTAACTTTTATATTCGATGAGTTTGTTTATACGGCACACCTTGCATACAATTACAAGTTTAACCAGTACTTTCGTCGATTTCTTTCCGTACTTTTTTTCGTTTTTGTTTTCTTTTAGTCGTCGAGTTGCTAGAGGGAAAGTTTGATGGACAATAATTTTTATTAATTATTGTTCGTGAACGTGAGATGCAAAATGCTGTGTAAATTGAGAGATTTGTTCAATATATTTTGTTTTGGTGTGCCGATTTTTGTGATTTTTTAAGCAATTTTTAGCCAAATCATTTTAGTGCTTAGTCTATTTTTAAATTAAAATAAGTTTCCATGGTACTCCAGTAAATAAGGACATGGGAAAGACAATGACTTTTTAGGGGAATTGTGTACCTTTTGAGGAGTAGTTTTAAGGAAAAAAGTTATAAAACCGTAATCGGTCAGCTTTGGCGGAAAAATGGCACCAAATGGCCGAAAAAACAGTTTTTTTGCAAATATCTGCCAAAATATGCAATTTACAAAAACGGTCCTTATCATTTTTTACGTAGAATTAGTAGTTTTCGAGATATTACGCCTCGAAGATCCCTGAATTTTCTCTCCAAGTCTTAACGTTCTGGAGATAGATTTCATAAGAAGTATCATTGATTGATAGAACAAATTGTTCAATAACTGGACTAAAATTTAATATTTCTTGATGATTCAAAGTTCATTTAAAAAGTAGAATTAAAAATATCGCATTTTGGAACTTGTTTGAATTTTGTCATATCTTATGGTAATAAAAAACTGGGCAAACATTTCTTGGTTCAAAAAATTTCAGATTTTTACAAACTTATTTATATTTTCACTAATAATAGCTTATTTACAGTTGAGAGAGGGTTGGAACCTTTGGTGTTACACAGCAAAATAAAAACACTAAATCACCACAATACACCAAAACACTTTTACTTTTACACTGGATGCGCGTTTCGCTAATCATGTTAGCATCATCAGCAGATGATTATAAACTAAAGTACTTCTTTTTTTTTGTGAGGGGGTGGTTGAAAAATCTTTTATAGACGAATAGTGATCATTTCCATAACCATCTCGAGAGAGACGGTCATAGAAATAACCAATCTACAAGTTGAGCGTTTATATACTTGCCCAGTGGGTCTAGCCAACCGAGTCAGAGCCCACTGAGCGTAACAGTTAGATTTCCGCCACTAGAGTAATGGTCTTTATCAACAATATGTTCGGCAACGCAAGATTTATCCGGTCTACCATATCTTATCTGAGCTAAATGTTCTTTAAATCTAGTTAATATTGATCTTCTAGTTTGTCCAACATATTTCTGATTACAATCTTTACAAGAAATTTCATAAATACCCGACCTTTCCAGTGGAGGTGTTTTATCCTTTGGATTACCTAATAATTGTTGTAATTTATTATTAGCACTATACACAAGTTTATAATTGACATTCTTAAAAATTCGTTTTAGACCACGGGATAACTCTCTATCAAACGGTATCAAAAATATTTAGACGTATCTTTCTCTACTTGAAAAGTCGAATTTTCAGAAATCATTAACCTATACCTACGTTTTCTAATTAATTTATCAACTAGTGCAGGAGAATATCCATTACACTCAGCTACATTCCTAATATAATCTCTTTCTATTTCATATCTAAGTGGGAAACTAAGTAATTTATGAACTAAGAAATTTAAACTAGCCATTTTATGTCCAACACTATGATGTGATTCATTAGGAATATATCTGCGTGTGGTCGTATTTTTCCTATAGATATCAAATTCCAGGCATTTATTAGTATTTCTAATAACTAATACATCTAGAAATGGTAATCTGTCGTTGTTCTCAATTTCATGCGTAAATTTAATGGAAGGAAAACGATTATTTAACTTAGAAATAAAATTATCTATGGTGTCCAACGATAAAAGTTCAAAATTACCTGCAATATCTTGCAACTCTTTCAGAGTATATTGTTCTTGCCCATTTTCCCGGATATAATGGACTACCTTTACCATTTAGTCTGAAATATCAGCATCCAAGGGACGGGACGTCCTACTTTTCTAGGGGCTGTGGAACATGACTTATAAAATTGTGTATAACAATGCTTGTGATATCTGGCACCCGCACAAAAAAAGTCTTGACGAATAAGCTATTATTATTAAAAATATGAATAAGTTGTAAAAATCTGAAAATCTTTGGGCCAAAAAATTTTGCCCGTTTTTTTATTATCATAAAATATGACAAAATTCAAACAAGTTCCAAAATGTGATAGCTATTAATTCTACCTTTTAATTGAACTTTGAATTATCAACAAATATTAATTTTTAGCGAAGTTATTAAACAATTTGTCTTATCAATTATACCCTTATGAAATCTGTCTCCGGAGCGTTAAGACTTTTAAGAGAAAATTAAGGGATCTTCGAGGCGTAACGTCTGGAAAACTACTATTTCTACATAAAAGCTGATAAGGACCAATTTTGTAGGTAACTACCTAAGCTTCATTTTTTATTCATTCGCCAAAACTATTTAAAATCATTTTAATTTTCGTGGTTTTTATATGCACATGGGAAACTTTAATTTTTAATTTAAAAATCAGTTTAAAAGTCAAATAATTTAACTGTAAATTAATTAAATAATCAGCAAATTCAGCCCACTAGAACAAAATATATTTAACTTTAAAATACACATACATTTGGTGCTGTAAAAGGTAAAATGTGTTGTTTTTTTTTACTGAAAATGAATAAGAAAGTTTCTAGCTAAATTCGATAGTACTTTTGGCTTTCCCTTTTCAACTCGATCATCTATTTTTTTCTGTATATTTTGGAGTAGCAAGGAGCGCTGTCTTTTTGTTTTGTAACGCCATGAACTATCAACAATTTTTGGCCGCCACTTGATTTTTTGCGCAGTCCAGTCATCCACAGAAGCGTAGCTAAAGTATGACAAAGCAACACACATTTCTTTAATATTGTTTAATTTTTATGTTCGATTACATCGCATAGTTTGATTTGATGTTAATTTTATTAAGTTGATTAACCATTTTGTCGGATATAAAACAGGTTATTTTTCTATTTAGCAAAAAAAGCAATTTATTAAAGTATCTACACTGAGGTGCAAAAAAAACGCAACGGAGAAAATTTTGGTCAAATTTAAACTGTTATCCGTTTTGTTGTCTTTAGTCCTATTTTTATGATTTTTTAGCAGTCTCTATATAATTATGATCAACTTTGTAATTTCTATATTCTATTTTTATAAACTTTAGTAAATGGCATATTACACACAGGGTTAATCGAGGGGTTGTTTTTACCCTAACTTTGACACACCCTGTGCAACAATTTCGTGTGTAAATTTTCCTGAAATATAATTTTAGGGTCAGAACCATGTCTCCTGAGCATTTTGTTTTTGGATCATGTCAATACATGCCTTGGTTAATTTTAAGAGCGAAATGAACTTGCCACCAACAATTTGCAATTTTTCAAATTATAATTTATTTTTGAAGTGTTTTTTTCAATATGACAAGGCAGCTTTGGTGATTATTGTGAACTATATACTACTATGAACTGCCCATCATGTTTAACGTTTGGGAAATACTTTGCAGGAGGGTTAGAGGTCGCGAAGCGTTACCAGCTTTATTAAATGAACTTCGCTTGGTCCTTAAGGAAGAATGGAAAAACAACGCAATATAATATATGCAGCTTCAATGACAGTATGAACAAACGTATAAAGGCAATTATAGAAGCCAGGGGAGCAATACAAAGTATCAGGGTATTTTTTACATTTTTTTTTCAGTTTGTATACTTCAGTATTACAGATGTTTTCCTTAAAATCGTTAGTTCTGTTATCGTTAT